GTTTTGCTCCATCCACATTGTTAAAATCAATTCTACTTTGAGGAGGCAGCTCTTCCCAACTTGTAGTTTGAGTGCCTTCCAGCCTGAGGGTCTCATCCTTTGGCACTATGTCAGAAAATGCTCCACTGGTAGTCATAAGGCTTCCACTGACTACTTTCAGAAGATCACCACAACCTTCCTTCCCGTCTGGATTAGTCTAGAAACTCTAGAAACTTGGGTGACCCTGCTGGTATTTGAAATACCAGAGGCATAGCTTCCAGCATCACAGCAGCATGCAAGCCATCATAGTATGACAAAATGACAGATGACTGGTGGCATTTAAATTTAGTGAAGTGGAAAGAAAAACCAATCAATCTCAAAATCCTCTTTAGCTTGAAAGACACTTTTGAATTCATATTCTGAAGTAAATTCTTTCTATGTATGGTCTTTTAAAAGGAAAAAACAAAGACCACCTCTGTATTTAAACAAATGCACTCATAAAATAATACTTCAGAATCACTTGCCAAATTGAATTGAATTTATAAAGTGATAGATATAAATGAGATAAACTAAGGAAAGTGATATAAAAATTTCAGTTGTTATGACTTGCAACAAATGTGGGTGTTAGTAGGTTTTGTTTTGTGGTTGACATTTTTTAAATTACTCTTAGAAAATACATAATCCCAAGGTATTAAATCCATCATGTAACCCCAATTTAAATTGACTAAATATCCAGAAATAATATCAGCTTATATTTTCTTTTATGATTTGTGTTTCTCTTCTTAAAATAAAACATATTATTAAGTTGACACTTTGCATAGAAAAATAATCAAAAAAGCCTAGTTATACTAAAAAAAACCAATGGTTATATTACAAGTTCAAATAGAGTGTTCTTTTTTGAAAAAGGAGTGGATCACCCAATGTTCATGGAACCCAATGTCCATTCTTAGTTTCCCACACACACTAGTCCTATAATTAAAGATCATTAATATGAGGATTTCTTATATCTCCTATCCAAGTATAAGCCTGGCATAATAAGCATGATTCCAAAATGAACCTTCAAGTTTCAACATAATTCTACTCTTTATTCTATATGCAAATTTTGACATAGACTGTAGGCATACTTTTTCCCCTTTCTCTATCATTTTATTAAAGATGAGTATTGATTTCTTGTGAATCATTTGGAGATAAGAGTCCCAGGTTATCACTGGCACAGATTATTAATCTTTTCCCCAGAGCCTCTGATGCTGACACTGCTATTACACTGGCTATCTTGAAGCAGGCATTAGGAATTTTATACTGAAATATCTACATCTAGGCAACTGGTAGGTCTACTGCATTATAAAAAGCCAGTGTCTTATAGAACAGCATTCTATCATTTTCATCAGTGCACCTTCCCCAAGTCACTCAAATTCCCATAGAGAAAGAACTTAAAATATCTCCACTGAACAGACAAAATCACATTACTATTTAGACAGCTTTCTTTTTGGCCATGGGACACTAGATTAATTGCTCACTTTTAAGTGCAAAGTATAAAACACTGAAGCACGTTAAAAGCAGCATTCCAAACAGATAAGTGGTAAAGTTCATTGATCAGAGCACTTTTGGAGAATACATACTAGAATACCAGGGTTATAGTTTACTTGATAAAAAAAAAATAATAAAATAAAAAAACCTTCTCTTGAATGCTTAAACTGCTTAATGTATTGCAATTACTATTTTAAAATTATTGTGCAAGTGAGAGTGATACTGTTTAAGTAATGACATCTTCACTCTGCATAGTGTTTCAATTAGTGGGTTCATTAATATTAGTATTCATTTCTTCAGCTCAGTAAACTATTATGGTTATAAGTGTGTATAAATTCAAAACTTAATTATACTGTTGAAACAATTCACAACTTAATTATGTTGTTGAAATGGTAATTAAAATGTATTGATATGCCATTGTCAATTAAAGGTATATTCATAAGCTTCAAATTTACCTGCTGTGGGCACACACGCTGCAGTGGTGGAAAAGCTGCAGTAATGAGTTGGATACCTTTACTGGGGGATAAATTTTGAGGCTGCTATCCCAGTCCCTCTAAGATTTAATGAGGAGACACTGTACACTCTCCAGAAGGTGTCCAGGGATATAGAGAATGGTTTTTCATTAAGAAGAACTGTCTGCCCAGTTCCTTGTACATGAGTCACTGTGTGACCTGCTTTTCACTATAGTTAATGTATTCACCTCAATCCCAGTTCTCCTCAATGTGTCAGCAACCTGTTATTGTTTACTGCTAAAACCTTATGGCTGAAGAGCATTCCGTATGTTCTCATCAGCTTTATGGTTTTAACACTGCTCTAGCACTCCTACGTGCATTAAAAGAACCCAGTGGTAAATGGCAAAGCTTCCAGGCCTAAGAACTACTGCATTTTCAATTATTTCTAGATCACCTTGCTGAGTATTTGCTAATATCTCATTGGAACAATTAGTGTCCCTTGGCAAGATGTCCGTAAAAAAATAACCACAGAGCAGAGATGTCCTCTGGGCCATATAGTTCAGGCAGATGTTTCTTGTTGTTGTTGTTGTCAGGTGCCATCGAGTCGGAACCGACTCATAGCGACTACATGCACAGCAGAACGAAACAATGTCCAATGCTGGGCCAACCTCACTACCGCTGCCACACTTGAGTCCATCAATGATGCCACATGGCCAATCCATCTCATTAGGGGTCTTCCTCTTCCTCTCTGACCCTCCACCTTACCCAGCATGACATCCTTCTCCAGCGACTGTTACCTCCGGACAATATGTCCAAAGTATGAGAGATGAAGCTTAGCCATCCTGGCCTCCAAGGAGCACTCTGGCTGCACTTCTTCCAAAACAGATCTATTGGTTCTTTGGCAGTCCATGGCACTTTTAGTATTCTCCTCCAACACCACAACTCAAAGGCATCAATTCTTCTACGATCTTTCTTATTCACTGTCCAGCTTTCGCATCCATATGAGGCTATTGAAAACACCATGGCCTGGGTCAGGCCCACCTTAGTCCTCAAGCTAACATCTCTGCTCTTCAATACTTTAAAAAGTTCCTGTGCAGCAGATTTGCCCAATGCAATATGTCGTCTGATCTCTTGACTGCTGCTTCCGTGAGTGTTGATAGTTGATCCAAGAAGAATGAAGTCCTTGACAACTTCAATCTTTTCTCCATTGATAAGAATGTTGTTTATTGGTCCAGTGGTGAGGATTTTTTTTGTTGTTGTGTTTTTACATTGAGATGCAATCCATACTGAAGGCTGTGCTCTTTGATCGTCATTAGTAAATATTTTAAGTCTTCTTCACTTTCAGCAAGCAAGGTTGTATCATCTACATATCGCAGGTTGTTAATGAGTCTTCCTCCAAACTTGATGCCACGTTTTTCTTCATAGAACCCAGCTTCTCGTATTATTTGCTCAGCATACAGGTTGAATAAGTATGGCGAAAGAATACAACCCTGTCTCACACCTTTCCCAATTTTAAAACATGTTTAGAAACTAGAGAATGAGCCAAACATGTTTTCAGTCTCCCACTTGCATACCCCAGAGTTATCTGGGTTCTCTTCTCTTTACAGTTTAAGAAAACCAATGTCAAGGAAGTTGAGTGACTCGTTCAAGGTCTTTCCTCCAAAATAATTGTTTGGTTTTTTCCCTAGAATATGGTAAACCAGCTTGTTGGTAGAGTTATTATTTAAAAAGTAATAAAATAAAATAACATGACTGTCAAGTCAATTCCAATACATAAGGACTCCAGAGGGTCTTTTTGGCCATTATGTTTTATGGTGGTGGTGTTTTGGTAAAGTGCCATAGAGTCAGTTTGGTTTGACTCAAAGTATTTATAGGGTTTTCAAGGACAGCCTGGTGAGTTTGAATCACTGACCTTGGGATTCAAACCAACCTTGTAGTTCAGTGCTTATCCTACCAACCTTTTGATTAGCAGCTGAGTGCATGCTGTTTGAACCACCCAGGATGTTGTTTTTAAGTGCCACCGTTCAGACTCATAGCAACCCTGTATAGGGTTTTTGAGGCTTTAAATCTTTGAGGGAGCAGAAAGCCTCATTTTTCTCCCACAGAGGAGTTAATGGGCTCACATCACAGACCTTGTGGCTCACAGTCCAGTGCTTATCATATGGAGTCACTGTGCTCCCAGGGATCTTTAAGAACAATGATAATATTAACTAGAGGTGGTGATAGGTGATTACAGTCCACAGTTCTGGGAACAATTAATTTAAAATGAAATCTGGAGGGAGTTATAAACCTAAAACTCCCCAATGAGACAGGCTTTGGAGTTAATACTAATACCTGGGCTGCGGGAGAAAAGATGAGATTTTCTGCTCCTGCGAAGATTTACAGACTCGGAAACTATGTGGGGTTGCTATGAGTCAGTACTTAACAACAAGACTTGGGTCAGGAGACTTCTAAGTTTAAGATTTGTCTCTTCGTTCAAGATTTTGATTTTGTTTCTAAATACAATTTAAAAATTATGCAAGGCAACCTAAATATCCAACCCTTCTTTGCTTACTAATTGTTTTTAGTTTCTTTGTAGCATCTATCCATAGAAGCCCCTTGGAAGCAAGTCTCTCCTTTCAGTCTCCCACAGTACCTAGTAACATGATATCTTGACATTAAAGTTGATATGCAACAAGTATGTGTAACTATCATCACCAATTGGTGGGATAAATGTATGGGATGGGTGAACCTTTCTTTAAGCTCCATCTAGTTGTTCAGTAAAATGCGAATGAATGAAAACTTGGAAGAATTCAGTAGATATAGACCTTCAGAGTTGAATTCCAGCCGACTAATGGACTTTGTCTTGAAATAAACAGCCTGGTAAGTATTTATGTCACAAGGTGGCTTTGCACTTGGGCTGCCAAAGCTGTAAGCTTATGACTTTAATGTGTTGATTTCATACTCTCATCACTGTTGAATTTTCTGCATTGTTCAGCAGGTTTTGCTGGTGCCACGTGTTTTTATCTGATGTTTACAGACTGTTTCTGTTAACTACCACAGGTTTACACCCTACGAGTGGTATAATCCCCACCCATGCAACCCTGACTCAGATGTGGTGGAAAACAATTTTACTTTACTAAATAGTTTCTGGTTTGGAGTTGGAGCTCTCATGCAGCAAGGTACACCGGTTACCCCTCTTTGTCACACGCATCCCACAGTCTGCTGAAAGGTTTTTGTGCTGGTAAACTCCATCATGAAGCTATAGGGTAGCCTGAAAACTGAGAAGCTCAGGAACTTAATAAAAAATAGCAATTGACTTCCTAGCCAGTTCTGAACACGAAGACAAAAATGATCTAAATGGAACACCTTTACTATATGTTTAACAAAGTCCTTCTACTAAGCAATGAATCCAAATTTTTCTGTGATCAACAAAGGAGAAACTACCTTTGAATTGCTTATTAATTTGCATAGATGGAGGTGACAGTCATTTTTCTTTTAAGCCATAATGCCACAAATTTCAGAGTTTTGAAAGGAATGGAATTTGAATTCTGTGAAGTTTCATTCTACTTACATTCTTCCAATAGCTGGCAGCACCTAAGTCTTCTACCTAATTACCACTGTGACACACCCAACTGGAATTTATTTTATAGGTTCTAATGACTTGAAAATCCGTCTTAATTGAAACCATAGCAATAGTAAATATATGGGTGGAAAAAATACAGTCCAAGTCATAGATGTGTAATATGTTTTACATATTTGTTTTTATGATTTGATCACTTGTTTTTGTTGGCAGGGTGAGCTATTTCAACACTTGGGAAAATAAATCATCTCTTTTGTGAATTTTCTGAAGCTTTGATACCAGACATGTGGTCTAGAAAATACTTCCAAGATTCAATGCATTCATTTAAGAAAATCCTGAGTCACAGTTCCTATTGTGTTTGGAAAATAAAATGGCATAGCAAAGTTCATTTGAGATATACATTAAACATATTTGTTTGGGATGAACCCTAAGGCTTCTCATTAGGGAGTTATTTATAGAACTATGTGAAATATTTATATTCTGTATCTCCAAATTAAAGGAAGAGAGATCAAAGATCTCTAGTACAGAAATCCCAGATATTTGAGGAAAACGAGTAAACTCTCTTGTCATACAATTAAGCATAGTTTATTTGGGCACTGCTAAATAGGTGTAGACACAGCAACTGGTTTACTAAACATAATTTGCATTTCATTTAGAGCGCAGCACAGAACTATAAATTCACTAGGAAAACCCATTAGAAGGCACATAGTGCTTTACTATTGTGTTTAATTTTTAGGGTTTTATCTCATAAGCAGTTACTTTTAAAGAATAAGGAGAACGCCTTCCTTCTCTATTGCTTGCCTTTCCCAGACGTTAAAAAACACCAGTTGCTGTCAAACTGATTCTAACTCATTGTGACCCCATAGGGTTTTCAATGGCTAATTTTTTCTAAGTAGCTCCCAGACCTTTCTTCTGAATGTTCTGGGTGGACTAGACCTTCCAATTTTTTGATTAGTAGACAAACACACTAGCCATATATTTGGATCTTCCAGAACATGCTGTGGGTATGAGAGGTATGTGAGCCTTGACTGCCTTCTGTCCTATGAGTTTACCCTCCCCCAGAACATGTCTTTAATATTGTACCTGTCTGGAGTTTACCATCATCCACAGCAAACCGTGGGATGCAGTGACTGCTAGTTACCACTACCTTGGGTACATGACAGTCAGCCCCAACCAGACTCTGCTTGTCTTTCAAGAAGTTTAAAAACATTCATCAGGTGAACCAAATGTTTCCATGGACAAACTTGCGGTACGTGTGACTGTTAGTGCATCCGTCTTTAGTGTGTGGTGTTGGACCAGGTAGCTAACCTCATCATCAACTGTTAAGCTTTCTCTTGTAAGCAGAAGCTTGTCACTCAATTGGAAACCATTTTGCTTAATTCCTTTTTGAATGTTATGATCAGGCTTTCTCTTTTCAACAGAGTGTGAGCAAAGTCTGGATCAGGATTGGCTGTCATGTCTGCCGTAAATGGCACAAAAGAGACTTCAGCAAGGATTGTCTCTCTTCCCCAATTTCTTTCTAATAATGTTTTATTCTACAGTGATTGCTTTCACAATTTCATCTTCTCGAGATCTGAACTTCTCTCCTTCAGAGGAGCCATTTCTAAGTATGTTAATGACATGGAGAGTCATGAAATTCACAGAATCATGTGAACATTAAAGAGTTCAAAATGTAATCTCAGTAGGAGAAAATCCATATTTCTGTGATATTTTCCTCAATTTCTAAGACATATGCACCCCAAAATGTAAAGACATTTTAAAATATGAAAGATGTGAGTTGAATTATTATTTCTTTTCCCAGGTCAATAGTAGGTTTTATATCCATCTGTCCCGTTTCCCTACCACATAAAACAGTTGCACATATATATAGATAATAAGTTAAAACTTTATCTTTCTCATGAGTATAACCAAATAACATATGGATGAATTTATAGTAGAAAACTTGCACCTACCAGCTAAGAAAAATGTATCTATTAATTGTATTATTTATTTCCTATGGCTATTTTATGAGATAAATGGTATTTTATTGATAACCAACTAAAGATCTAAAATAATATCACATTGCCACAAGGCTGCTAGATCAATTAAATACAAAGATATGAAACAACCTTGGGCATTAAATACATACACCCACAGGTGGATAAATCCATTAAGCCACAAGATTAAAACAGCAGGAACAAACTATTCCATTAAATCCTTCGAGGCAATTTAATGGAAACTATTATAGATCTGTGCAACATTACACACCTAGGTTCAAACAAACAAAGCAAAGAAATACAAACAACAGTCAAAGAATTCACCTCAATAAAAATAAGTGAGTAAAGCACAAAGATATCCAGTGCCAAATCGCATTAGGAGAATATGTGTATCTGTTCATTGAAAGCCTAGAAACTTTGCCAACTTTGATCTGCTTATCACAAGCCTTGAGCTAGCTTTGATTTCTTGAGTAATATGTGTGTCTGTTTATAGATTAAACCTAAGCATAAACTCATTTATTTGTTGATTGGTAAGCTCCAATTTTTCTTTCCATCTTAAGCCCATAACTACAGAACTTTAAAACACCCAGTGAAATAATCCTTTATGCCTTATGTTTGACCTGCTGTACTTTTTCATTCAGAGTTTTAAACTTAGGGTGTCTGCTTTTTAACTGGTCACATAAGCTCTGTCATGCCTCTAGGTGACTAGAGGTAATGTAAAGAACATGATGTGTTTCATATAAATCCATTAGTCAAAAGATAACCATGAACCAGTGCAATTGAAGTGAGCCTCCTATATACACCCTTCTAATCTCTTCCAATTCCACTGCATTGTTTCTCAGTTTGACCAAAAGTTTTCAGCTAGAGTATTTCCATAGATGTGTTCAAGTAGACTTTAAGTCACTGTTCAAGTAGACTTAGTCCACGCATACTTTCTTTTAGAGAGGAAGCCACTTTTGGTAAGCCCATTAAGTACTTATATGTTATATTTTAAAATAGTCATAAATATTATGGAAATAACCTCTAAAATGTAAATTTTTAATAAGAAGCGTATCTGTCCACCTGAGAAATTGCCAGTTTTTGTAATGTATTTCAGAAATAATACTTTATTTAAGGATGTTGTTGTTAAGTGCCATCGAGTCGATTCCAACCCATAGCGACCCTGTATAGGGTTGCCAAAGAGCAGCTGGTGAGGTTGAACCACTGACTTTTCAGTTCAAACTACTTTGCAATCTAATGCATTAGCCCACAGTGCCACACACGCATACAATTATACAATTCAATTAATATATTCTTTTTAGAAAAAGTAGAGTATACATTAGAAAAAATAATTGAGATTTTCTCATAAAACAATGAAAAAACAGTTCATCCATGCTTTAGTATGGCTGCAACTTACTTCACATGATTTGAATAATTCCAGTGTTTTACTACAAGTACATGGGATACGACATGGGCTGTTAATTTTTCAAAAGCTTCTCACATTATTCGAACTTAAATAAATTAGGATTTCAAAGAGTTTTATAGTTATACTAAGAGAACATTTTATGTGATACAATAAGTCTTATTTTAGACAGTACTGAAAGGCCAGGACTTTTAGAGCTGTCTTTTTAACAAAAACAAGCAAAGAAATATATACATGTATATGTGGAGTCCTGGTGTGGCACTATGGGTTAATGCACCAGACTGCAAAACTGTTTGAACTGCAAGC